CATTTTCAAAGACTTCTTCACACTACCGAACACACCCACCTGGATGCCCACAGGTCTCATTGACTTCCACGTTTTTCTCTCAAATTTCGATACATTTGCCCCGTTCAATCTGCACGCAATGAACTTTTCCGCAAACTCAAAAACCATTGCGGCATGAGGGATCATCATTATAACGAAGAATGTAGAAAGCACGCTAATTGAGGGCAGAACCATGTAAAGAAAGAAACCAACCTTTCCCCATATTCTAATCGTTCCATAGTATGTCAGAACAACGACAGAGATTCCAAAAAAGATTAATGGCGGGACAGAGAACGAACAGAAATTCTGGTTCGTGTACTTATTCCATAGAAACATTTTTTTGTACAGGTTTATTTCCTGGAGTCTTCGGACCAAATTATGGGTATGATTAGATTCCCTCAGATCCTGTAAAATATCAGTCATTGAACAGATCATCATCAGACCGATGATGAAGTAAGCAGTCACTGCTGTCACACTTTCGTAAACGACAATGAGCGTTATTATGCTTCGAGTTAAAGTTATTATAATCTTGTTCCCATTGCTGCTGCCTCCCATTAGGACGTGGAGAGGGTCAATTTGCACGTATACGGCGATGATTGCTACAGGTAAGGGCAGCATGAAGGTGACCCAGATCATTAGCCTCATGCCAAGTTCGACGATAAAATAGGAATGGATGGTTTTCGTCGCTGTGAGCTCTGAAATTTTATATGAGGTACATTATAGAAAAAATAACTGTATCTTAAAATATTGTTATACTTTATAAGGCACATGAATTCTCAATTTTCTACTAATTCAGCTAATAAGTTCAGAAAATCACAATTTTGCCGTTGTCAACGTTACCTTGTGTTTCTTTCTGGAAACCCGCGATCTTGCATAAAATGATTTCCGGAATTACTTGCATGAACGTTATGACATAATTCATTCCAAAGAAGGAGGGTGGAAATAATGCTGATAGAATTTGTACGTAGACTCGAACGACTTTAACGGCGTCAGATTCTTCTAAGTCAGGAATGGAACCTTTTTGATGTTTCTTAGAGAAGAAGGGTTGACATAAACAAGCGAAACAAAACAGGGTATGACAGACGACGCAGGTAATTCCAAAAACGTGGAAACAACGACGGCTCCTTGACATATTTCGAACTAGGAGCATTTGTTTGTTAGAAGTGGATATCTTGTAAGGGAATACATATAACTTATCGCCAAACAGCCGGCCAAACAGGTGGATAAGTTTCCACATTCCCGACGTAGCCATAATTATGGACATATACTAAAATAGAAATTTGATAAAGTCAATAAATTAAGTCGGACGGGGAAAAGAATTCTGTCCAGGCGGACGTGGCTAATGCTTGAGCAACTATCCCATTTTTAGACTTATGCTCATGTAAGAGTCACTAATACGAAGTTCTTTATTATCGAAGGACACCCTTAAAAATGATGTGCTTTTGCTTAGTTAACATACAGTTTAAATCTGTCCTAAGTAATCCGGACTAATCCAAAGTAAACGCTAATTTTTGTCAATACACATTATTTTATGTTGTTTGCTTAATTTAGAATGCAAAGCATACTTAAAAGGGAAACATCCGAGGTGCCGGTCGTGTCCAGGGCACCCACCATGTTTTTTAGAATCCACTAGGACCCTAGATGAAGGATCCATTCTTATTTCCGTGCTAAACTTATATTTGGCGCCGTGCAGTGGCGCCACATTCGCCAAAATTGACTCCTTTTATTTTTAAAACCGCCATAACTTTTGAAATCTTGGACGGATTTTTAAAATTTTTGATCAAAACCATGACAAATGGTTCAACTTTCATGTGTCACAAAATTTTTCAAAAAATTGTCAGTTTGACGTTTTTGCAAAATTTAGCAATTTTCTTAGAAATGGAGGCTCGTCGAAAAAATCGTAAAAATTAGTCAAAAATATAGAAATTTTTGTTTTTTATTTTTTTCTTAAAATTTCGACTTTTGTGTTCATTATAAGTATAGAATTTTGAATATCCTACGGAAACTGCAAAAATTATGGGGGTTTAAAGTTGGTCGAAAATTCAAATTCTTAAGTTTGGCGCCACGGCTCGGCGCCAAATATAAGAATGGATCCTTCATCTAGGGTCCTAGTAGATTCTAAAAAACATGGTGGGTACCCTGGACACGACCGGCACCTCGGAAGGTTCCCTTGTTAGTTTTCAAGACGGTAACTCTATTTTGAAGAGGATTTCGACCAGTATACTTCCCTTATTGAATTATGGCAGTATAAAATTGAGAGCAATAAACTCCCAGGATTTATCGTCACTATAAAATCGCCTAAAATAAATCGTGCCAAACGCATATAAAAACTATCGGTAGCTTCATATCGAAGTGTTATCCAAGCTATATTCAAGGTCCACGAAAATTTCATGTCACCCCAATCATAGATTTCGTAATGTCTCACGTCTACCTTCACCACAAATACGTCCACAACACTGTGGAACATTATTTCAAGAAAAATCTCATATTTCCCCAGACAACACCCCCCGAGTGTAAGATGGGTGGTCTGATTTACCCTAAAAGTTTATAAAATCCACCCCTGAGGTAGGCATCATATGCACGATGCTGCTCTATAATATCTATGAGTTCTCGCATTACCCCAATGCCGTACACACAGACGGACAAAGCCTTCACATAAAGTAGCTTTAAGCCACATACATACTACATAATAAAAAGGATTTCTACTGTATTTGTACATATATATTATTCTCCGAAAATAATGGTAAAGTTTATGGTAAGGGACCGTGCAGAAAGCTTGTGAATTATTTGAAGGGGGTAGAGGTCAACGGCAACCTATCCTGCCCATGTTAATTATAGCATGGGGAGTATTTGTAGCACCATGGCGGTAACGGTGAAAATTTCCCGAAATAGATCACATATCTTACGCACGGCCCCTAATTTATTTGGATTTGTCCTAACGGGCGTTGCACAGGTAATCAAAAAGCATACGAAAAAATTTTCTTCGTATGAACGTATCTAACCGGTGAAATATGCGTGAACATAACTTTCATGGGTATTGCAAGATTATCGTGTTGAAACGATGAAACTGGATCGTGAGTTTTGTTTGGAATATTCAAATGCATACACCTGAAGAAATTGCGACTTTTAGAAATCCATAAATCATGTAAGACCAGCATTATACATATTTATTGATTTGGACTCTAATAATACATACATGGATACATACCTTCTGCTCATTTTGGACTTAAATAATATATACTTTTAAATCTAGTATTGCTTGCTCCCGTATGCATGCATGCAACGTATATAATTTCGCGACAAATCGTCGCCCGACGGAGGTACTATACTGCTCTATTTTTGGGTAACGATTACGGAGACATTTTACCACCAAAAGGAGATAAGTCAAAAACTCGTATACCAAACACGTGTGACGTCCCCGTTTAAAAAATGCAATACTTTCTTGTATAAAAATCGGCTGTTTTAAATTACGACGTCACGTGTGTTTGGCACACGAGTTTTTGACTTATTTCCCCTTGGTGGTAAAACGTCTCCGTAATCGTTACCCAAAAATAGAGAAACATAGTACCTTCGTCGGGTGACGATTTATCTTCAAATTATTTAAAGTGTACACTATTTAAAATGTGGTAGAGTCACATATTTAGATACCCCGTGCTGGTAATAATTTGGTAATAACTTCCTGCCGGATTGGCAGTGAATTGTTCATGCATGGTAAATTTTACGGTAACATTACTGAACGATAATTCCCTTTATTACCGTGCCGGTAGAGTCACATACATATGTACTCCGGTCAGTAATGACTTATTTAATACCAGTTTTCTAAAAGTGTGAGAACACACATATTGTCTGGCTGGATAAAGTCATCTAAAAATAACAAGCTCCTTCAAACTTCAAGGAAGTCATTGTGCAGGATAATGTTTTTGAATTTTTCAATTCCCACTCAAATTCGAGAATTTGGAAGACTTGAAAACCCTAGGGTTTGACTAGACAGTTTAAAATTTGTCCTTTGCGCTAAAGTTATGAAAAATTATAAACTACGGATATGCTTATGTTTTTGTTTAATGACTAAAATTGATCTACACAAATACAATGTTTGTATGAGTTTTACAAGTAAAAGACATGCATTTTCAGTTCTTTCTATGCTTACTTAATCCTTCAACCTCTTTCGTACTGCTAATTTTTTTAATACAATTTTCCCTGAGTACGATGTTGACTTGATAATTACATACATACACCTGATATCAACCAATTAAGACTTTAAACCAGTTTCCAATTTTGTAATTTTTTCTTACGAAAAACACGAAAAATCCACTTTTTAACATTGGTCGGTATAGGCTAAATTTCAAAATTTCTGATGAAAAATACAAAAAAATCTACCTTCTACTATCCAACTTTCCATAAAATACCAAAGAATTATTCTCTCTTTTTTTAGGAATTTTGGTGTCAGGTTATTTTAGGGCAGTACATTTACGTATTTTTGTATTATTTCGTCGTCAACCGAAAATAAAATACCCGCATAAATAAGTGCATATCGTCGTTAAGCGGGTAAACACTTTCCGACTCCCGCGCTACATACTTCATGAACGTCCCCCAACATGGAACAAAGCATAAACTGAATTTAAACAAGTTTCATCCCAACCAGTCCAACTTCTCAATAATTAACGAAACCTGTAGGCAGAAGAGCATGTATGTATACAAGTGATGCAGCACATTATTGAGCATAATTAAGCAAAAAACAGCACTTGCTGTGCAACACATGGTGCATACAACTTATAATACTTTCATACAAGGTTTATGATGAGACCTCTCCAGATAAGAATATGTGCATACAGATGTATGTTTGTATGTAGTGGCGTGCTCACCCTAAACACAGTCCAGTACAACATCATCTACATACGCATAATATTGTTTCTTTTTTGCGTCCTTTTTGTCTCGTTAACCTTGGCATAAGATAAAAAGTCATCTGTGTTGCCCATGTAAGTAATTTATCACTACTTTGTCCTTTTGTCCTCTTGTTTATGCACTGCTCTGGAAATCCTACAGTGTAGAAAATAGTTAACAATTTAATTTTAGAAGAATTTTTGAGCTCTGCATAAAATTTCCTCAAGGTTGAGTGAAAAAGAGGACACAACCAAAACGTAAGTATTATCCAACGTCGTGCAAAATTTGTCCAAAGGTGGACAAATTTTACCGAACTTTGAAAAAATTTTGTACATCGGTTGAATAAACTTTAAAACCTCTTGGTCGTGTCATTTTTTATTTTACTCAACCTTGAGGAAATTTGACTTACTTATTTTTATTTAGAGTGTGCTAATAAAGTTTAGAAAATAATTGAAAATTTAATTTGATCAAAATTTGTATTCTTTAGAATGGACGCTAACTCTGATAATAACTTATCCGCCTTCGTTTTCGGATACACGGGAGGAGTGGGACGTTGCATCGTGAATGCTCTCGCAGTGGAACCACGATTTAAAAAGGTCACCTTATTCGGCCGTAGAACAGTAGATTTGGAGGAAAAAGACAAAAAATCTACAGCTGCCTCCGCCGATTTTACGAAATTCACCCAGGATGTCGTAGACTTTGACAAACTGACGGAAGATTCGGAATATTTCGCGGAGAAATTGAAAGGTTTTGATGTCGGGATTTATGCGTTGGGAGTGAATCCACTGAAAACGGATGAAGAAACGTTTCAACGGACGACGAGGGGGTGGCTCCTGGCCATCGCGAAATTAGCGAGGGACGGCGGTTGTCGCCATTTCCATAGAATGAGTGGCGCCTTGGTGAATGAAAATTCGTGGTGGAAGGTATGAAATCATGGACATTTTTATTTTTGCATTGGGCGTACTCACGTCAACGTGTTATTTCGCATCACAACTCATTGAGGAAACTTGCGAAAATCAAAATATTTCTGCAAATCTTCTGAATCTCCAAGTCCACTAAAAACACCTACATATTTTCTAAAATGTTCCCATGGAACTCTATAATTTCGCTTGCTACCGATGGTGAGGCTGAGCTTGTGAAATAATTTTGCGAAATAAAAGCACCCCCAACTGCTGGATAAATTTGAAAAAAATGTAATGGTTTTCCAGCAAATTTTTGGGCAAAGTTGCGTTGTTATGAAATTATGCTCAATTTGCAAGATATCCGACGGTTAACGTGAGTACGCCCATTGCATTTAAGTTTACAGTTTTTAGTCCTATCCAATCAAACTTTTTTGTCTTTCTCGCTGATAACTTTCGTAAAACGCATCGATCGGCTTGATATTTTGGGCGCAAATTAAATATTAAACTCTCGCTCTGAGTTTGTAAAATTACACAGTTTTCAGTTAATATTACGAATTACAGTTCATTAAAAAAATGAACGGTGATTTTGTGATTATAATTGACCAAGGAATTGAATTGTAATTAAACACACTACTGTTCAGCCGATATTAATAGTCTGAAAAGAATGAGAGATGTCCTGGCAGACTGTTTTATATTAAAACAAAATAACCTCTCAGAAAATTTTCCAAGGAATTGAGACTGTTAATATGAGCTGAACAGTAACAGTTTTAAAAATTTTGTTTGCAGTGACAAACGTAGATTAGGGTACTTTTCTTCTCAAACGATATAACATCACATGCTGTACAGGAATCTGTGGCCTTTCTGTACCTAAAGTTATTAATCGTTTAATATTTTTAATAATTTCAGTTTGGCCGTTTCGGCGGTGAAACGGATGCCCTCCTTGGCAAAATAAGTTACCCTCGGATATCCATCTATAAACCGGCCACTATTCTGACGGAATTCAACAGTGGGGGGATGGTTGGACCCAGGGGGGTGTCCGTTATGCGTCTCCTGGACAGATTTCGGTGGTGGTCGGTGGAAGGGGAAACCGTTGGCCAGTTTTTGGTACAGAATTGCTTCACCAAGCCGAAAGATGCAAATAATTCTGTCGAGGTATTTACGAATGCTGAAATAAACCGATGGGGGAAACTACAAAAGAAATAATCACTCTGTAGGAGTAATGGTTTGATATCTTCCAGTTTGTGGATTTTAACTTTATGTAAAAAATTGTATTCGTCAATAAAAAGATTTTCTTGAAGAACTATCTAAATATATGATTTAATTGCTTATTGGGCTTATAAGCTCGTAGCCAGAGACACAAAGGTGTAATGTAGTGTATCATTATATATTTCAAACAATAATCATTAACGTTATTATTTAATTAATTCATTATTTAGAAATAACAGAAGGAGCACAGCGACATAAAATTATTATTATTCGTTGTAGGTTTTCTGCTAGCCACAAAAATTTGACGTGATTTCGTCACCATGAATACATACACATGATAGCCTATTTAGCGCCACAGTTGACGGGGGATTTGCAAATTTTACAGACAAAGTGATGGATGAATGATTCTGTGCAGAAAAATGACCCTGGTGAAGTACATAAATATAATATGTTCATAATGAATAATCTATTTTACGCGAATTCGACCCTAAAGATTTCTTTCCCTCTGTAACAATCAGTTTACCAACTTTCTCCGCAATTTTCACTAACGCGACCTAAATATTTAAATAACATTCCAACTAGTGCACCCTATGCATACGCTGTACTTTGATCATGTAGCAGTAATTTCCACTAGAGCATGATTTTTCATATACCCAAATAAGAATAAGTTTGGCGATATTTCAATTTATGAAGCTATTTACCACACTTCTGTGCATCATACTAACTTTGGAAGATGGACGGAAATTAAATAATCGTCAAATAATTCTAGCGTACCAAAGTCCGCCTAATATGAGAGCTATCAAGTCAAACTATTTTGTACGCACGGCAGATGGAAAAGAAATTGCAGCGAATTATTACTTCATATACGGTTTTACGTAGTTTTATTAGCATTGAAGAAGTGTCCAGACTTGTCTAAAGATGCTTCTCTTTAGATCCTTATATTTATAAATAATTTGACTCGATTAAGGTACAAAGGGTGTACATTCCTACCAAAGCAAATATAAATACTAGGCTTGAGGTCGTCGAACTTTTTTTCGTATTCTTTACTCACTTTTACAAAAAATACTAGAATTTAAATAGCTATAGAACAAGTACAAATACTTATAATATAAATACTTCAGAGATGATGGAATCAGTCTGTCACGAATTTCCAGGACGACGGCCAGACTTGTTAGTAAAACAGTTCCCCCACAAAGAAGAAATAGTGTTAAAAGTGCCCCATTTAATCTTACGGCTCCAATATCCGTTTGTGGTTTAAAACGTTCACGGCGCAAATATTTTTGGTATATTTCTTCCATTTGCAGTCTTCGATATATTCCACTCTCAATTAGATATTTGAAGTATTTCGGCACGTTGGACATCCCCTCGAGAAGTATTTGCCAGCGATAAGTAACTTCTTCAAAAATGTCTTTCCCCTTGTAAAATCGCTTAGAGGGATATTGCTTAGTAATGAAATTAAATTCTGCCTCAATAACGTCGGAATTTGAAATGTATACGGACTTCCCGCACTGCACCAATTCACGTTCCATACTACCTTGAACTTGGGGAAATGTCTGGTTTCGATTTAAATATTGAAACCCTTTAGGGTGATGGGTGTGCCTCGGGTCAAAAAAATCTAATAATTGCATATCATTCATACTCGCAGATGTGTCAGGATATTCCATATATTGAACTTGAAATATTAAATAACGGAATAGGTGGTCTAAGAATTCAGGGATGTTTGCGTAACCTGACACATACCCATTAGGGAGAGAAAGCAGGTGAAAACATTCCCTTTCGGCGAATGGATTAGCAAATTGAATTTGTTTATGCTCGGGATTATGAGGGGAGGAATCCTTTTTCGTGCTGTCTCGTAAATAGGACAGCATTGCCAAATACCACCCAATCCTTTCATATCCGTATGTTGGCAGCTTTTCGCCTTGTACGAATAGTGGTGGCTTCTTCTTATAGTAATATTGGGCCCGCTTGAATATTTTGAATGTATCATTCTTTGATATCCTTTCGCAGAATAGGTGGTCAAACAAGGTGGGGTGTGATGAGTCTAGTGGCGCGTTAAGTTCAGTTATCATAATACCGTTGTAGCAGTTTGTAAGGATGACAGACATTAAGCACCATGAACCCAGAATTAGACGAAGAAAATTATTCCGTTCAAGTTTTCCGGGTAGATTACCACCCTCTTCAAAAGTTTTCGCAAGAACATACAGCCAAATATGTAATGATGCGTTAGTGAAGCGAAAAGCATAGAGGTAGACTGTCGTGATTGCAATAATTGTGATCAGTGAGATAAGTAATGAGACCCATAGCCGCAACTTGAAGGGCGTAATGTAAAATTTGAAAGTGAGATACTCCTCCCGATAGCAGCTTATAAAGGCAAAACCTAGCGTATGAATAGTTATGACAGTTGTCGTGTCAAGGAATCCAATTCGATTGGTCTCATCATACAAGATGGCATCATAGCCTCGACAAAACGACGTCTGCGCAAGCGTTTCGTTCGCCGCATTGAAAATTACTCCTAAAATATTTTGTAAGTGTGACTTGTGAATTCTAGCGTCAAATGGATTTTTTCCTTTTTGTTCATAAATATCAAACTTCAAATAAGTTGTGTATGTTGTGAATTGTCGATGATAACACCATGTTAGAGACTTTAGTAGTTCAAAATCTAGGGTAATATCGACAATACTGCGGCCTCGTATAATCACAGGTCCTTCGGCGTCACAACGGTGCCGTTCGCCTTGGTAGACTGATGGAATCTGTCTGTGTAAGCCATTCTTAAACCAGACACAAAACTTGAGCTGATTATCAACTGCGGAAAAAAGAAGGGAAACTTTAAAATATTTCCCCGTCCAAAAATGAATCCGTAGAGGTCCGTCTGACTTAGGTTTTATCGTGACAATTGTCATTATGGAATCTTTACATCGTAAATCTGCCTGCCACCACCCTTCATAATAAAATACATGCCAGAAGGTTGCCGCGTAAATCCAAGTATCTAATTTTTTACCAAAACCATAAAATCCGCCCATTTCAAGGGAATGGTTTGAAAATAAAATAGCAAATTTACAACTTGTGACCACCCGTGTTTTGAATATGTTAATCCGATACGGTCTAACAGGCTGTTTAACGTCAAGTTCAAAGTCTGTTACGATCTTTACAGGCAGATTGATCTTCTCCCAATCAATGCTTTTGTTCCGTACGTCGTGAATGATTTGGACATCACAGGCGACCACGTTGTTCAGTAAGATTTCAAAAACTGGAGCAACGTCTGACCCAAAACTAGTGACCACAGTTGGAAAGTAAAGAATTAAAAGATATTCAAAATAATGGAGAACCATTTTCAATTTGTTAAGCAAATTTGTTCTTAAGAATTGTTTGTTTAAGCGTACGCAATAATTGCATACATAAATACGTCGTCCCAGGGCTCTAAATATAATGAATCTTCTCAAACGACAGCTTTCTAGCAGGATTTTTTAAAATTCTGTTCACCAGCGGTGGTTTTCAATTTGTTATTTAAAGTTATTAAAACTCTACGTTTGTTTCCGGATAGTGAAATATCTCGCGTAGTTATTTTATTTCTCCGCTTTAAATGTTTTGCGTTCAGATCCTGTCTGCAATTTGTGTGCTGATTCTGTAAGTCGCCTGAACTTTCTACGTCGTAAAAAAAGTATTAATATGTATGTCTCGTATTCAAGGTGACTTTCCCCACTATGTAAGTCGACGTAGCATAAACAGACGACAGTAAATCAATATGTTCATCCATTTCCCTAAATTACCTGTGAGTATTGATGTCTAAATTTTTAAAAGCACTTTTAACGTACATATGTACGTAGATACGTACATATTCTACAAAAGTGTAAACACGCTGTTGGATTACGCGGTTATCAAATATGTATGTACATTGTCTATATGTACATAGTAAGAATGTTTTACATATTATTTAGGGGATATCAACGCGTGGGAAACTAGCAATATTACGTTTACCAAACTCGGTAATGAAGTATTACTTTGGCGGTGAAGTAATCGCCAAAAATAAATTCTTCTTGATTATTTACTGTGCAGGATTTCATTGGAATGAATGCTTAACGGGGTTAGTGAATGATCCCAGTCGCAGGTTTGGAGTTTTAATTAGTCAAATGGGGAACAGTGTAGCCAACACGATTCAAATGATGGAAATAGTTTTAACTTCGAGGCATTTAGGTATTAAAAGCCGGACTTATTTTTACAACGGAGTGAAAACCATGGATAAATTCATTGGAAAAATTGTACATATGTTTTGACGCAGCTCTGGATAAATATCTTGTGAAAACCTGATTTTTCTTCTAATTTTTAGGAAGGCATCCCAACTTTTAATCAATTTGTGTTGAATATGTTTAAAACCAGTTTTTTTTCCTGCTTGATTAAAATTTAAAAATTATGTATGTGGCCCATCCTCGGTACAAACAACGTTTCTTGAGGAAGTTTCTGAAAATATTTTAGGTCAAAGTTGAAAAATTTGTGACATTTTGTTTCCAAGAGAATGGGAGTGGGATTTTCTTCCTTGGCTTGATAGCCATTTTTTTCAACCTGGACCTCAAATATTTTGACTAATTCGCGCAAACTGCCTTAAGAAACGTTGTCTGTCTTGACTTGGACCACATAATCATACGTCGGATATGACTGAAAAATGACTTTTTCCATTTCTTGACCTACAGTCGCCAAACTTTCTGAGAATGTTTACGGTCAATAGTAGGTTACGTAGATCAAAGCATATTTTCTCATGTTTGTCATATTTTCGGGGTTTGGGACATATTCATATTCCGGATCATATTTTGGGCTTTTTTCGTTCATTTTATCATTTTTGGCCAAGTTCTAAGATTTGGCAACCAAATCGACAGAAAATGACAAAAGATTCAGTTTCTTCACAATGGTTGATTGTGAGAAACTTGCAGAAATTTACATTCATTTTCGCCTAAGGTGATTTAATTGATTGGGAATGAATTACATCACCCCAGAACTTGTTTTATTGCTAAAAATTGAGTATCACAAGAAAAAAATATAAAAAATTAAGCCAAAAATGTAAAAAATAAAGTCATTTTTATGGTCATATTTTAGAGATTTTTACGG